TGGGCATTGGTGCTGTACTCGAACAATATGGATGTCCGATTATCTGCATTTCTCGTCTAATAAATACAGCAGAGCAAGGATATTCGCAAACACAGAAAGAAGCGTTGGCTGTGTACTGGGCCCTCAGATGCCTGCACAAATACCTTGTGGGACTGCGTTTCACTATAGTTACTGACCATCAAGCCCTACCATACATATTTAGCCCACATAAGTCGATTTATAAACCGACGCCGGTGATGATCCAACGATAGAGTATGGCATTAGCTGCATACGACTACGATATCATGCACCGGCCGGGCAAAACAATCCCTCAAGCAGACGTTTCGTCACGATGGTCCAAATTCGCGGCGGCTAAGAAACGCTATTTCATTGCTACTGCCTCCCCGGTATCACGAGAGGAACTACACCGATGCATCAAACAATATTATGAAGCAATCATCACCGCACTATCAAAAGAATGGAGTCCGGACGTAAAACAAGTGTTTGTGACTGATAACGAATCGCAATTCTGTGCGGCGGAATTTAAGGCATGGCTGGACAGCATTGGCTGCAGACATTTGCGCACAGCACCACGCCATCCCTGTCCGAACGGTGCAGCGGAAAACCTGGTGAAAACGGTGAAGAGTGCCATGGCTTTTACAAATCCGAGGACAATCTCAGAGTTGGAGACACTCCTAGATAAATTCCTACTACAATACCGAAATGCTGAACATGCTACCACCAAGGAGAGTCCGGCAAAACTGTTTAACGCCGGAAGTCTTCGATCCTCACTACGATGCCTGGATTCAAGTGACGTTGTATACTTCAGAGGAAGCGACCTGAGATTATCGAAAGGAATAATTACCCGCAAGATTGGTCGCGCCATGATCGAGATCACAGACCTAAGAGTTGCAAAAGTTTACCGACGTCACATCGATCAAATCCTGTTCGACGATACTCCTACTCCGATTGAGGATCCGGCCGATAAAACCCAAGAAAACTCATCCTGTGATACACCGCCAACAACCACAGAAGATCGCACACAGCAACCCTCTACTCCGAGAACGTCTACTGACGAGAATACCACGCTAGCACTAAGAAGATCAATCAGAAGAGCAAACCAATTCGACGAGGCTCTTTTGAGGGAGGAGATTTGTGGTGATTCGCATCAACGAGATTACGCCTGTTCTGGAGCTGCGCGGTACAGTTTCCTGACATTGATAGTCAATCGACCTTAAGCGCTGACGCCAGTAGCACGTGCGCATCCCCCGGATACACGTCATTAGTGGACCGTTCCAGCCAATCAGATACAATGCAGAGAAGAGCAGTATGACGCAAGATGTGATGCAATGTGATTGGTAGAAACTAAGGTAACCAATGATCTTCTTTTGTGAACATATATATTCACCTTCATTTCCTTCAATAAACGACTTTGTGATTCGCCTGTCTTGTGGCCTTTTTCCTCGCGTCTCGATCCTGCGGGTTATTGCGAGTTCGAGCCATTGCGGTCTAGTGCCACCGAATTTCTCATTTGGGTTCCGTGATTCCTATTGCGTAGTTCGTGTCCTGAATTCTGTTCGTAATTTCACTAATATTACTACTTCGACGATCACCACAAATTGGTGTCGCGCAATGGAGCTTCGAAGTGTTGAACAATTGAACCAGCAATCTAGTCCATCCGACATCGAGGAATGGGTAGAGCAATTCGAGCTGGGGCGCCGTATTCGAAAAGGTGATGTGCAAAACCAATGGGCTCTGTTTCTCACTTCTGGCGACCGTTATCTGTATTCGGTGTTAAAATCTTGGCATTTTCCGAGGTTCCTGCTAATCTACCATACGATTCCTTGAAATCGCTCCTATTTAACCATCTGCTGCTTACTGAATTCCAAGCCCACGAACGTGCTAAGTTCAATTCTCTGATCCGTGCTGACTACATTTTTTGCCGTGATTTCATCCTCCAGCTAAACAGGCAGGCATCACGCTGCAACTACGGCGATCGTTTGGAAGAACAGATGTGTGACTGTTTGGTAACGGGCATCAACAATCTCACTGTGCAACGCAAGTTACTGGAGAAGAAGGGTTTAACTTATACGCACGAGAGTGGTTCCGTGGAAATAAATAGGCGAACAATTTAGCACAAACATGACCTAGAGAAATTGGTATTCCTCTGAAAGAAACAATTATACAGCGTAAATAAAATAAATTGAGAGCTGACAAATTTGTGGGCGCTAACTTATCGATACCCCGAGCTAATACGTATAGGTTGCAAACGTACGTTCGTACGCGAAGAGAACGAGGCGATTCACGAAACGGAGGACGACTTGTATTGTAAAGACCTGCAGAGCAAGGGAGGGATACAGCGGCGTAAGCAAGCGGTCGGAAAAAGTGAAAACAAACATGTGCTGACCAAAGAAAAAAGGCCTTGGTGTGATAAAACAAAGAGATCCACAGGAGGAAGGGTACATTTAGAATGGGATGTGAATGGTCACTACAGTAGCGCCCTCTGAAACATGGTTTCTGTTCTAACACCAGACAAACTTTTCATCATCTTAAAGCTTCCTATTGTATCTCCCCTGAGCTTTCTTTCTTATAAAGAAAATATTCCCAGGTCCTGACATCTTTTCTTGGAGTCTTTGCCCGGCCAACTCTCAACCATTCCCTTTATCAGCTGTTGTACACGCTCTAATCAGGCAGCATCCTTTTTGGAGAATGGCGTCTGGACACAATACCCTAGGTGGGACCTGATTATGGCCTTGTACAGAGATTTGAATACCTCAAAGTTACGGCACGATAACGCTGATCTTAGCCTTGATAACTCACCCCAAGCTTTCTGTGCCGCTCTAGTACATTAATCCGACCATCTAGGATCATTTGTTATCGAAATTCCCAGGGTTTTCTTTTACATTTTTACNACCTCCATACTGAAGGTCCTACCTCGTGACCAACTGTGATACCCCTATCACGGAGTCGACATGGTAGCGCACCTCTACGCTTTCTTCGTCAACCAACCTGTGAGTAACTTCATCTAGGAAGCACAAGAGATTAGTGAGACACGACCTGTTTTTTAGGAACTTATGCTGAGCCGAGCATAATATAGAATGGTCTACTAAATACTTCGAGATATGGGCCCTGATGATCCTTTCCAGCACCTTGCAAAGAATACTAGTTGGGCTCACCGGTCTGTAGATGCTTACTTCTGACCTGGGCTCTTCTTTATGTATGGCTATCACGGCAGGTGTCTTCCAGTCCCGTGGTAGATTACCTTGTCCTACGGTATGCTTAAATAGACGAAACAATGGTCAAGGTAGGATGTCCACTAATAGTTTCACAAAGACTGGATCAATACCGTCAGGGTCAACAGACTTATCCATATTTAAATTCTCTAACCATATCCTCCGTGAGACACGAATCATCTACGAATACTGGAGGAATTGCCGGGTCCCAGATTAAGGGTTAACCGTTGTTAGTGCGGTGAACATTGCTAAATTATGAACTTAGTGTCCACTTTGCTGCTATTGTGACGGTTTTCAGCAGCCTTTGTACATACTACTTTTCTAGTTCCACTTAATTCATTTTCTTATCTCTTCTTTCTCTTTTATGAACTCAACGTTAAACAGTTGCTTTGACCGGCCTCCTCATTACCCGCTCGGTATCTTTGGGGTCTTGTTGCGTGATTTGCTCTATTGTTTGTTGCTCTGTAACTGGGACCTACAACGGTTTCGTAAGTCGAAAATATTTATTGATGTATGCCTATAAACGAAATTAAATTTAAATATCGACTGTCGAAGTCAAGACATTGAGATTCGTTTTGAAAGTTGTTTGGATTTTCCTTACAATTTGAAACCTTGGTCAAATTATGTTCGGTGAGCTCTTCTAAATTCTTTTTTGTCTTCAATATTTTGCTCCTAAATTGAATATAATGTCATGTCAACCTGGTCAACCAACTTCGATCAGGCCATTCTCCTCAGGAGAGAAAGTAGATGAAGAAACCACCATCTTTAAGGGCTCGAGTATTGCTTCATCCTTAGGAGGATCACACCGCAGCATGAGGTCTTCAATGAAAAACGCAGAAGAAGAACTACGGTTATTGAGGGAAAGACAGATTAGAATGTGGGGTAAAGGAAGCTGTCTTCCGACAACAAATGTGGGAGGCCGAAGCTAAGCTGGCACTTGCAGAGATTGAG